GCTACTTACTAACGCAGAGGCAAATGACTAAGCTGGGTACTGAATCACCTTGAGGGTGTTCAGCTCACAACCCTCCGCCTGCTTCAGAAGGAGCTTAGGGTAAGCCTAACCACCTAACTCAGCCTTCTCAAACTAGACACTGGAAGCGGAGAGTGGAAATACTCCTCTCTTCTCCCATCTGTGGCTGCGTTTACACATGAGACTCCCACACAACTCCTTTAATTAAATTCATGAGTTGACCATGGTAAGTGGCTACACTGAATCTTTTAACTGCTTATGAATTCATGATGTAAGCAGTCTCTCTGCTTGACCATTAATTTAAATACTCATGCAAAATCTCAGATTACTTGATGTTTTTCTCTCTTTCATGCAGGCTTCTAATGACCTTAAAAGCATTAACTCAATGTGAGGTCACATAATTATTTTAGCTGTGGATCAGTTGCTTAATAACAGTTTTCTCAGAGTCACGTAATCATGCAGGATGTAAGGCTTAAGTAATTCTTCCATTTTCTGCCTATGTATTAATGGATGTAACCACTCGCACAAAAAGGAGAAATGAATTAACAGGAGATTTTCAATACTTGGGTTTACAGTGTCCAAAACATACAGAGAAGCATGTATCTGCAAAATTAATCAGCTATTTCTGTAACTACTTAAGAAATCAAATGGTGTTTGAAAGTCAAACATCAATATAGTCTAGTCACCTCATATAGTACAAGCAGGATCTCACTGTGTTTCACCATTAGTAATTAATGGCTCGTCTTTGACTATATCTTAAGTCAGTTAAATAAGTTTATAGGCTGCAGCAGGCAAAAGCTAATACATTTACTTTTAGTCATAATTCTTAATGGATAAAAATTGAGTCTGATTATAAAATGAACTTTTTCTTGATGAAATATTAAATTTTCCATAAGAAAAATATTTGATTTTGACATTACTGTGTTACTGCCTGTCTTTTTTAGTGTCAGAAATATTTATGATTTTAAATAGGACAATGCATGGGTAAAACATTTAAAAAAAATTGCAAAACTAACAGAATATGTTCCTGCCTCATAATAAACAATTGTTGAATGATGTTTATTAAAATTGGCTCTCAAGTGACAGTTAATAAATGCATAGTTCTATTATGCATGCTAAATTCAGCATTCCGAAAACTTAAAAGCAGATAGATCAAAACAATGGAGATAAAAAAGTCACAAAGACAAAATACAGCAACACCAGTAAATGACAGGGAAATAATTCAGACTAAAAAATGACTTATTATTTAGTAACTTATAACAACAATTAATAGAACTAAATTAGAGGCAAATCAGAGTCTTTCTGATGTTTTAGATATGCAGTTTCTCTAGTGCATACAGTTTGATCATACAGCAGAGGAACTCACATCACAAAGTCCCCGTCAAAAAAGCAAAAAACCCAGTTTCTCTATGTTTCTGCTTCTAGCTTACACTCATTCATGGACAATGAATGAAAGAAAAAAAAGGGTATAATAAAATTCAGTTATTAATCTATTTGAATTAAAACCCCTAAACATTTCTTCAGTATTTGGAGAAGTTAGACTGTCTGTATGTGGTGTGTTTCTATGGCTGTTTCACATACGCCCAGACCATAACTGCACCAAACCGCACAAATACTGGATTTAACAGGCTTTGTGTCCTCTACTGTAATCACTCCACTGGCTCTTTGATGTTGCATAGGTTTGGTGTGATGATGGAAAGAGTTGCTTCGACCATGTATTTTCACCTCTGTTTCTAAAAGGTGAAGGGCAAAACTTTTAATCAAGGCGCAGTTCATCTTTAATTAGGAAAAATATAATTAGGCATTATCACCTAATTGCTATTACTGACGGAGAAAGTCATATTTTCACAAGTAGTGACCCGTGCTGTATTATCACTCTGCTGTTTACCACATAATGAATCTGTATTTCTGTTTGGCAGCTTGCCAGCAAAAATGAAAAGGTAATCAACATGCTTCTCTGCAGTCCGGTCATCAAAGTCACTGGCTTCACAGATGAGTAAATAACAAAGTCAAGTTGTGATGTCCGAACAGAAACCCTTCTTTAGGAATAACTATATTTATCTCCTCTGTCAAGACATCAAGTGATACTTGAAATAACCATATACAAAAAGCTTTGCGAAATAGATTAGAAGAACTGTGCTATACATCTGGTGTTGAGTTAGAAAACAGTTTAATGTCTCAAGGCACCACCACGGTAGAGTTTTATACCTGCAAGTAATCATCTAATACACTATTATACAGTTAAGGTAATGTATTAATAAATAGCTTGTGCAATTTTGGGAAGCAATCTATAAAGGAATGTTAGATATACAGTAGGCACGTACTATAATACAAATAAAAACCAAAATTCCTAGAAAAAGCATGCTGAGCACCTTTTGGTATAGGCTGAGTTTCTTATTCTAAACACTATGTAAATCTTAACTTACAAAAGCTAAAACTGAAATCTTATAGTAACTGCTTATTTAAACCGATCTTCCTGGGTATTTGCCTCTATGTCACAGGATTACTCTTAGGGACAGAGGACTCTGGTACTGGCTGTAAAGGGCTATCTTGTTCATTCAGTTGTGCGTTCAAGTTTTCAGAAGTTAGGAGAGAAGAATTAAAAACTATTTCACTTAAGTCTGATTTTATGGATACGAGATGTGGTTCTTGAAAACTTAATGGTTCTTCTACTAACACCTGTGTATTTTCTCGTGTCATTCCCATATCTGACGGTGACTTTCGTTTCATTCTTGTGTATGATTTGTCTAAATTCTCCATGCCTTGGTCAGTTTTCTGAAATCGCCCAAAGAACCAGATGAAGAAACCAAACAAAGCAAAAGCCAGCAAACTTGGAATAAAAGCCAGGCATTTGACATCAAGGCTAGCGCCTGTGAATCTGCTGTGCAAGAACATGTCTCCTTCGGCATAGGTCCGGTTGGTCAATGGGTTAGTGTTATTGGATCTCCACTCCCAAGATAACTTAGTTCTATTAAGGTCTTTCAAGCTTTCCGAGTCCTTCACTGTGTAGATCTTCTGTCCAGGACCGATATACTGACCATATTCATGAGGTTTGTAAAATATTTGGTTCTTCCACATATTCAGATCCAAGATTAAAACAAGGAAGATAATTCCATAGTTAAACCATTTGCCTGTTTGGAAAAAGAAAGTTCTGTCACCTGATATATCCATTTTAGAAGCAGTACAAATACAGTCATATGTGAAAGCTACTCAGAAAAAAAATCCTTTTTTTATTAATCTGTAAAGCAAAGCTGTAATAAAATTTCCACCTTAGTCAGATTTATGCTGAATATCCCCTAGTATGTCACAATTAGGTCTGAGCACATAATAAAATAATTTTGTAATATAAGTATAGCAGTATATCAATTGAATTCACATTGCAGTTTGTAGGTGACTTGTTGATTACACCAGCAGGTGATGTGGTATAGATCGATAAACCTAAAAAAGTATTAACACCAGGTCTTAAAAAATATTCCCATGGAAATTTTCCATGAAAAGGCCATACCTGATAGAACCGTTTATATGCCAGCAATGACTGAAGTGACTGAAGTTTTTATGGTTGGTAATTATGTAAATTTTAAGATTATATACATATATATTCTGATATATCAACTCTATTAGGTTTGTGTGGCAAGCTTTTGGTAGCGGGGGGGGCTACAGGGATGATGTCTGTAAGAAGCTGCTAGAAGCTTCCCCGGTGTCCGACAGAGCCAATGCCAGCCAGCTCCAAGACGGACCCGCCGCTGGCCAAGGCCGAGCCCATCAGCAATGGTGGAAGCACCTCTGTGATAACATATTTAAGAAGGGAGGGGGGAAACAACTGCGCAACGGCAGCTGAAGAGAGGAGTGAGAATATGTGAGAGGAACGACTCTGCAGACACCAAGGTCAGTGCAGAAGGAGGGGGAGGAGGTGCTGCAGGTGCCAGAGCAGAGATTCCCGTGCAGCCCGTGGTGAAGACCATGGTGAGGCAGGCTGTGCCCCTGCAGCCCAGGGAGGTTTATGATGGAGCAGATCTCCACCTGCAGCCCAGGGAGGACCCCACGCTGGAGCAGGTGGATGCCCAAAGGAGGTTGTGACCCTATGGGAAGCCCACATTGGAGCAGGCTCCTGGCAGGACCTGTGGCCCCATGGAGAGAGGAGCCCACGCTGGAGCAGGTTTGCTGGCAGGGCTTGTGACCCCATGGGGGACCCACGCTGGAGCAGTCTGCTCCTGAAGGACTGCACCCCATGGAAGGGACCCATGCTGGAGCAGTTCGTGAAGAACTGTAACCTGTGGGAAGGACCCACATTGGAGAAGTTGGTGGAGGACTGTCTCCCTTGGGAGGGACCCCACGCTGGAGCAGGGGAAGAGTGTGAAGAGTCCTCCCTTGAGGAGGAAGGACCGGCAGAGACAACGTGTGATGGACTGACCGCAACCCCCATTCCCCGTGCCCCTGCACTGCTTGGGGGGAGGAGGTAGAGAAAATCAGGAGTGAAGTTAACCCTGGGAAGAAGGGAAGGGTGGGGGGAAAGTGTTTTAAGATTTAGTTTTTATTTCTCATTATCCTACTTTTGATTGGCAATAAATTAAACTAAATTCCCCAAGTTGAGTCTGTTTTGCTCGTGATGCTAATTGGTAAGTGATCTCTCCCTCTCCTTATCTTGGCCCACGAGCCTTTTGTTATATTTTCTCTCCCCTGTCCAGCTGAGGAGGTGAGTGATACAGTGGCTTTGGTGGGCATCTGGCATCCAGCCAGGGTCAACCCACCACACCAACCATGGTGCGCAGCCATATTTAAGTGGGGGTAATTGGATGAACTGTGATTTAGAGATATTACTCCCTTGAGAAATAGCAAGAGCTGACTGTAGTCTTGGGAAGCTAGTCAGCTTAGCTTTTCCTACAGTCCATGTAGTGAGAAACTCCTCCAAGGAGTGACTCATATTCTAACATTAAGCTCCCTCAATACTGGAGGAGGAAACCTTTCTCCTTTTATTGTTTAAAATTGCTTTTTTGCATGTTTCCTCCATCCAAAGGACATTAAAGATAACTTTATGCAATTACAAAGTTGGCCCTGCTTTGAGTACAGTGTTGGAATAGATGAACTCCAGGTGTCCCTTCTAACCTAAATTATTCTATGAATACACAAACCAAATTATACTATTTTCATAGTCAAAGCATCTCTCACATTCTAGCTGGACATATGTTCTTACCTGTACAGTGATGATTGGCACCACCCAAGAACCCAGAAAATCTACATGTTAGCCTCATGTGAAAGGACATTCATGTAGGAATGTTCCTGCTGGTGATGAATGATACTGGTCTATGCTGAAATCATATTTAAGTACGTTTCAAGTGAAAAAGAAAATGAATGTATCAGAGTATCTATTGGCTTGTAAAGAATAAATGGATTCCAGTTCTTGAAAGTCTGTGTGTTCAACTTGTACAACCAGAATGCTCCAGGAGGGTAAGGAGGGTAACTCCTTGTATTTCAGCAATTGTGTTTAATAGTCCTCTTCAGTCTAGATTATACTTAGACTGAAAATGAACAAGAATGTTCATTCTCTTGTTCATTATCTCGCATTATTGTCACTATCCGGAAATCGAACTGCACTGAAAAGACCTAGCAGCCAATCATGTTCACATAATTCCTGAATAAATCCTCTATCTTTTTTCTGGGTTTTCATCAATATTATAATTGACTTGTTAAAGAAAATAATGGTTTTAAAAGTTTATCACCACATTTTATAATATTTAAGTTTCCTAAATCAACACAAAGACACTGAAAATGATGCTAAAATATGAAATACAATAACAAATGATACAATCTAGCTTGATGCTGTTTCCTGCAGATTTTTGCCCTGTATTTTGTGTGTTTCTCTCCATCAGAATAACCCTAGGTTCCCCATCATGTATGACCTTTCAACAGACAGAGACAGAATATATCTTGCATAGTGTGTGTTGACAGGCTGGCTGGGACACACATATTCGCTGATCAATTGGCTGCTGTCAGACAGAATATAATGGCTGACTTCTCCCTGCTTTTTCCTGAGCTGGGCACTAACTTACATGTTTCTCCTTTACCCAGCCACCATTTCTTAGGACACAATGATAATGCCACTATTTTTCAGATTCCCATCCTCTAAAGAATGTTTTTTAAACTGGCCATGGGTTCAAAAGTTATTTGATGCTGAGTGTTGGGTAGAGAGAGAGTGAGACCAACCCCCACACAGAACATGATCACATAATTGTCATTTCCTTAGGAAAATAGGCTAAACACAAATGACAATGAAACAAACATTAGAACCATTATCTGTTTATCTATGTCCAGTTTGAAAGAAAATATGATTTACTGCATTGTAAACTTCCTTTCTCTGTTATGGTTGTTCACTTGGACACTTTTTGGAACAACAATTTGTGGTCAAATATTACTCTGTTTCAAGCAGAAAGCAACCCCTTGCTTCATTGTCCCAAAGTTAATTCTTTAAGCTATATTCTTTTCCCAGAAAAATGCATCATAAGCCCACCCAAAAACCCCTTCCACTTCTTTTGTTACTGGCTTCATCAAAATATTATCTGTGGTACTTTGTGCTTCTGCAGAGCCAAACCAGGTGACTTTCCAGAGAGATCTGCTAGATCCTAGGGATGGTAGGAAGGGGAAAAACTCATGTAAGACCAGTATTACTCTTTATCTTCAGCTAGACATTGCAAGAGTGAAGATGTGTAGGGAGAAAACAGACAACTGAAAGATCAAAATACGAAGCATAATGAAATGGGGACATTATTGAGATGGCCTTTATAAAGGCCAAAATACACTGTTATGGTTTTCTTGATTGTAGGTTTCAGGTATGACTGAGAAAGGAAACTTAGACATTGCAATGCTAAGCTGTGACCTACCTCCTCTTTAGGCATGATGGCACTCAGTGGACTTCCCTGAAATCATCTGTGTGACCACATTGTCCTAAATGTGGCATGTGTAAAGCAAGCCACCTGAGAAGTAAAACTTGAGATAGCAGCCTGCTGCTGGTGAAGAAGTTGACTAAGAAGCTAGCAGAAAACACCAAAAATGCTGAATAGAGGTAGCCAGGTGCTTGGTCTCAGGCTTCATGTAGTACCTGTCCTACACTGTGGTTTCATAACTGTGAATCTCTTCTAAGACAGATCTGTCTAAAAAAGGCTCCACCCCTCTTATGTTAAGAATTTGAGTGCTCACCTGATCTAAGAGAGATATGCATTTCAAATATTCCTGTTTCATAAAATACATGAACTTGAAACTCCATCACTCAGCTCCTAGACTGAGTTAGGCAGGCAGAAGCACAGCCCTAAGCTCTGCTGTTGGGATCGCTGGGTCAGTGTAGACTATAAAGGGTGTTTAGACAAACAGCTTAGATGCAGACACCCCAGTTAACTCAGATGAACTGCAACCTGTATGTCTAAATGGCAGCTAGTTGCCCGAGACCTGCTTCTGTTCTACAGTGGATCTTCCCAAAACTCCTTAAATTTCTCATTTCTAGAGAATTTTCCCATCCTCTGCATCACTGTCATGCTCGATGAGCTCTATGATTTTTCCTTTTCTTTTAAAAACTGTTGTCACCAGAACCAAACACTGTATATGAGTAACAGTCTTACTACAACCATATATGAACACAGTGACATCTTCCTACTCCTACTCAGTATTCTCTGTAGCCAAGGGCTGCATTAATCTCCTTAGACACAAAATGACTGGCAGTTAGTGCTGTCTCAGTTACTTACAGAAAGTATTTGCCTTTTTCTAGAATACTGTGTCCTGTGCTGTCTATCCCTCTTCTAAGACACGTACTTTACTGCTGTAGTAGCAGGTGTGATAGCCAAATAAAACCAGTTTACCAAGCAATCTTTCTAGATCAGTGATAAATGTATCGAAGCGGACTGAACCAAGAGGCCTGAGAGCCTCCACTCACAAACATCTGTACTTGACATGTACATGACAAGTACTTTTTGAGACTTGTTATACTAACCAACCTTTAACATTATACACATGTATAATCTATGTATGTGAAATGATCACCTATTGCAACTTGATTTTAGCCTAATGTCTTTTATAGCAAACTTTAAGTCATATATCAAGATTATATAGGAAATAAGCTTGGTAAATTAGAAGTCACTCTTGACC